GGTAGGATGCATCGATGCACTTCAAGGGGAAATTGAAATAAATCTTTCTTTTGGTCTAAGAAATGATAGATTAGCGTATATTAATTGAATATTGATATGTATCAATGTATGATTATATAGATATCGAGCACGAACAAGTCCCGGAACGATTATCAAGTTATGATTCGATCGCAAGAGAGGAAATTATAAAAATGGATTGGAACTTAGTGAGGCCAAGGTGAGTGCATATTAATTCGTTTATGGTGCTAAATGGAAACAAGACTTGTGACAAGTTTATTTCCTATGTTAGAATGCATGAATATATGATTATACGTATATGCATGACATAAATTGTATGTATGCATGATTATATGTGTTAACATGCTTTTGAATGTAATGATATGAGAAGTATGTGCTATGTGATGTATATATATGAGCCATATGACAGGATATATGTGAACATGAGAAAACAAAGTATAAGATATAAGCCATGTAATCCTATGAGAATATGAAAAGAAACTATGTGACTACATGTATATGTGAAAGACGCTATGAGCTTATATGACGTGATATGAAAGTGTACATGTGAATATGTGACATGATAGATTACTAATACCCATGTTATGTGTAAATAGAGCTAGAGGTATAGTTGGCATGCCAAGAGTCGAGGGTTCTACGTGGTCATTCGTGACATATATGTATTCTTTGGAACATTTACAGGGTCTTATGAGATACATATGTGATCCATTGAAATATGTATATGGTTCTTAAGGAGTGGTCCTTCAGGACAAATACAGTACATAGGTCCTTCGGGACAAAATTCATAGCCCCTAGTGGGACCCCATACGAGCTGTGGTGACAGCATAGTGCACAACCTCAATAGACTCACATATCTACAGTTCTCACAGATGTACATGGGCTAACAAAGAGATAATAATAAAAATATATATTACATGTAAAGTATATGTTTTTGTGATATGAATTGTATTATATGATTGATATGATGATGTATATATGTGTACATTTGATTACATGAAATGTTATATTGTTTTGTGTGATAGCATGATATGATATGTTCCTGGATGATTAAGTAGTTAGAGTTACTTTAATGTGTTTAATGCCCCACTAAGTCATAGACTTAGCGTGTGAGTGTTTCACACGTAGGTTCTGGAAAGCAAGAAGATAAGTTTAGAGGAGCAAGACATGTCAGATTCTCCTTTCCACAATTCAGATCAGAAATAGGTTTAAATTATGTATTTTGTCATATGAAATGTAGTTGGCATGTAAGATAAAAGATTTGTACTGGAAACGCTCTGATCAATTTGTAAAATCATAAGTTTTTTATATAATAGAAATTATTTGGGTTTTAGTGGAAATGTCTAACTGAATTCATTGAATTTTGTCAAAGTAAACGTTTTGAAAGCTCAATGTGACACCTCAGACTCGTATTCGAGTCGGGTACGGGTTGGGGTATTACAGAACACCTTCATGATTCATTTCCTTGTTTCAATCTTGCTTGCATTATTATCTAACAATTCGTAGGATAATAAATTTTTTCTTCAGGTCTTTCACGTGTCGCACATCTCGAACAACTTTAACTTTTCCATCATACATCTTCAATTTTATGGTTCCCACACCAATGATCTCTAAGGCATGATCATTGCAGCTATACACAGATCCTCCTGAGACAGGTTCATAATGATTGAACCATTCTCTTCTTGAGGTCATATGATATGTTGCTCCTGAATCAATGAGCCATATATCTGCATATCTCTTTTTACCTTCCACGGTGGTTGACGCTTCACAGCATAGAGCATCTCCATCATCTGAAGTGTTTGCAGTATTACCTTATGGATTGGAGTTTTTATTTAGACTCCAACAATCCTTCTTCAAGTGAGCATTCTTTCCACAGTTGTAGCACTTTAAATTCTTTTTGCTTCTCGACTTCGATCTACCATGTTTGTGACTGCTACTTTGGCCACGTTCCGTTGATCTCCCTCTCATCGTTGTCAACGTTTCTGCTTGTTGCAGATTTACTTGTTTGTCTTCCTTGTTCTTGCACCGATTTTCTTCTTGTAGAACAGCAGCTGCAACGTCATCGAAGACTAGATTGGTGACATTATTGTTTGTCAAGTTGATGATGAGTTGATCATACGTATTTGGTAGACTTTGAAGTAGAAGTTCAGCACGTTCTTGTTCTCCTATTGTACTTCTTAAGGATGTAAGCTGAGAAAATAAAGTGTTCAGCATGTTTAAGTGCTCCGTCACTGAAGTAGATTCTGGCATACAGAGAGTGTACAATTTCCTTTTAAGGAAAATTTTATTGTGCAACGATGTGGCCTCGTACAATTTGGTGAGATGATCTCATATCTCCTTAGCTGTATTCTTCTCCTCAATGCTTGACAATACTTCATCTGCTAATGCCAGATAAAAGTTTGCCATAACATTCCCTTCCATTTCGATCCATTTGTTGTCATCTGTGAAATCTACCGGCCTTTCACTGATAGCTGCTAGACAACCGTCTTTCCTTAGGATGACATTCATCTTCAATTTCCACAATAAAAATTTCTCTCATTGAATTTTTCAATATCAAATTTCGTTGTCATAGCTTCTATTTCGAATAACTCCCATTATTTAACTATCGTGAATAGTTCTCTGGAACCTTCAAAGAAAGGGTAATACCTTCTTACTTTCTTATGTTGGAGGATCCACCTTTTGGTGGCAACCACAAAGACAATAAGCAGATATTACACACTCAAATCTGGTTCTGATACCAATTATTGCGGAAGACGGCTATCGGATAGAGCAAAATTACAACTAATAATTTTAGAAAATAAAAATGAAGATAAAAGAGACACAAAATTTTACGTGGAAAACACCTAAATAATATAGGGTAAAAACCACGGGCAACGGTAGAAGAATTTCACTATAAGAAAATAGGAATACAACGTCTCTCGACTTACCAAAAAAAAACAATGACAATTTTCTCTTGATAAAAAGGAGAAAACAACTCTCAAGAAACTCTTTAAATTCTCTAGTATTGAGAGAAAGCTAGAATGATTTGGGATGGTTTTGAAGCTAAATGAGCTAGGGTATTTATAGTTGAAGCTTAAGGACTAATTTGTAAATATCCTAAATTACAATGACTAAAAATGATTTTACCATTTTCCAAAATTCCACAAATGCTATACCTTTTGGACCAATTCCATTCGGTGGAATTATTTATTATTCTTTCAATTTTCGGTGCATTAATTCTTTTGCACTTTCGGTGCATTTCAACATTTTTCTCCCTTCCTGGACACACTTTTGGGATCATATGTTGCCTTCAAGGTTGACATAGATGGATCATCAAATGCTAAGCCATCAAACAATGTCTCTCCTCCAGATTTGGCCTCGGAAGAATCGATCTCAGAGTTCCTTAATCAAGTTTCAATTTTAGTCAAGTATGCAGCTCTTTGATAGGTTATGTGTTGTTTCTCGTACCTCCTAAGTTTGATCAATTTGATGGTTTTTATCTGTTTTCTTATAGGCTAGTTGATTCAAGAGATATTGCGGAGTTGCAGCTGAAACAACTTGAATGTGAACTGATAATCTGAAAAAATGTGGCCTTGCCCCAACCACCTTCTGCAGCTCTTGTTTCTATGATGCAGGCATCCTCTCCACCACCAGTAGGGCCTCCAATGCAAACTGCCCCTGCTCCTTCTGATCAAGCACCACCTGCTGCCTCAACTCTAGCACCTTCTCCAGCTCCTCCCAAGTCAACTAAATCTTCGCTCCCACCTCTTAAATGTCCAATGGCTGGAACATTCTACAGAAGTCCGGGTCCTGGTGAACCACCATTTGTGAAGGTGGTCCATACATGTTGGTTTTATTGGATTTTTAGGGTGCTGCCATTATGTTTATCCTACAATTGCTTCTCTTTGGCTCTTTGGGCTTATGCAAAAGGCTTTCTTTGTAGGTTGGAGACAAAGTGCAAAAAGGTCAGGTCGTGTGCATCATTGAGGCAATGAAGTTGAATGAAATAGAAGTAAGTTCTTATTCATTCTGCTTGGAGAAAGAATATCTTTTGTCGAACAAAATTTATTGTTTCTTAGCTCATTTTTTTTTTATCTTAGAACTTCTGTATCCCAAATGTAGTAGACTAGTAACAGGAAGATTGTAGTACATGGGTGATAAAACTTACAAGTGCTAAGGTAAAATTTCTAAGCGATATTGAAAGCTGCATTTCAATTTGCTTGACCAATGAGTGATGACAGCCTATAATTAACACACTTGGCACTTGCAGAGTTGCAGTACCACTGTAATGTGTTGTACAGCCGTTAATCAAGATGCTGTTTTGTTGCATCCATAGTTTATTGAAAATTTCAAATTGCCTCTTACATTGCTAACTGTAAATGAAAAATCATTGTTTCATTAGGCTGATCAATCGGGAACCATAGTTGAGATCCTTGTAGAAGATGGTAAAGCAGTCGGTGTTGACACGGTGAGCAGTCCTAACTACCTTCATTCCAAATATGGAAGGATGGATATCGAATTTTAGATTCGAAGTAAATTCGACTCTCTTTTGTTTTCCGGGATGTTCTTGTTTGTCGTTTTTACAGCCTCTGTTCGTGATTGAACCTTGAACTCAGACTCTTGAGTAGGCAACACCAAACAATGGAGTTAAACTAGGAAGGACAGGCAGGCTGGCAGGTTGAGTTTCAGTGTTTTGGTAATGTTGTGAGATGCGGCAGCTTGAGTAGTTGGGAAATCTTCTCTTTTTCAAAGGTCATTTACTTGAGCGATAGTAACAGATTAAAACAGCATACTAAACATATTGAAGATGAAGAGATTTAATCCTAACCATTAAAAACAAATATGCCACGTGCCTTAATCTTAAACATTAAAAACAAAATATGCCACGGTCTTAATCCCATTAAGCACTGGATCGAAATGGACAAAAGCTACCCCAACCCGTAATTTGGAGGAATTTTTTCCCACGCGTGAAAACGCTCGTAATTGGCGCGTGCTTAACATCTTCACGAAACAGCCCGATAAAATCCAAACCCTTGCAAAATAACCGTTCCTTGGGGTTTCCGTTTTTCTTCAACCTTAAATCAATCGAAGCATCACCAGCAACCCAAGAAACACACATAAATTTAGTTTTGGGGGAAAAGGGAGGGGAGGAAATAAACCCCAATCATGGGATTTGCAATTTTCTCTCCTTTTCACTCTCTTTTCCTAATTTTCTTTCTTAATTTTCTCACCGCCCAATCATCATCCCCTCCTTCAATCTACGACCACTTGAAACACAACGGCCTCCCTGTGGGTATCTTCCCAAAGGGTGTGACAGATTTTTCAATTGATCCCGAGACGAACCGTTTCAAAGTGAACCTAACCCAACCCTGCAACTCCGACTCCCAGATCCAATTCCATTACGATTTCAACATCACCGGAATCTTATCTTCCCGGAAGATCGCGAATTTGACCGGTATGTCCCAGCAGGAGCTGTTCCTATGGTTTCCCGTTATTAACATACGTGTCGATGATCCAGACTCCGGTTTGATCAACTTCGATGTTGGCGTCGTTGATAAACAGTTCTCCTTGTCCTTGTTCGAGACCCCCCTTGATTGCACCGCTGTTGATCCTAATGATTCCTTCTCGAATTATCAGGTGGATTCTGCATAAAGATTTTACCTTGCTTATATTTCTCACTTTTACATGATATTTTCTTTCTTTAATGTACATTTCATAGGTTACAGACTGCACATATTCATTTTAGTATTTTAATTATTTTCTTTAACTAGTATGAGTGCATATTTGATTACAAATGAAATGTAAAAGAGCTACATTGAAAGTCGATAGACATAACAGAAATAATTGGTAGCATATAACATTAAAATCATGTATTCTGTTACTTAAGAAATATAATAGTATTTTACCTTAATCATCTGAAATTGCCATTTTCTCTTCTATGCGTTGCGTTAATCTAGCAGAATGATGTTCTTCCTATTACTTGTGTAGCTGTGTGCTCCATGAATTTTTACCAATTATTATGTCATTTCCTTACATTTGTCCCACAGTCTGTGAGTCTTTGAAAATTTTGGTTCTTGGACATGTTGAAGCATTGTCATTTCTTTTCCATGGGAAAGTGTTTTTTGTCCGAGCTTTATAATATCCTAATTCCCAAGTTCTTTTAAGCTATGTAATTTTATTTTCTTGAAAAGTTTAGTGCCTGCAACAAATCTTAATTTGGTATTAGTTTTAGCTCCGTTGAAAGTCTTATATTTTCAGAGTTCCTTGTTTAATGGATTCTGATTAGTGAGAATAATGATTTCACTGTGAATGTGTCTTTCCGGTTAGCTGATTCGAATGATTCTTTTTTTTTTTTTTTGGTTTCATCAAACTCGTATTACCTGTAATGTTTGAGAAACAATAATCAAAGTATGCAATTCTTTTGATGCTGCATATAAACAGAACTTTATTCTTACGACTTTATACTTAAAATTTCTGGAATTCAATTTTCTGAAATATGCATCCAGATACGCATGCACACATGTTAAAAATTTTTGGATTAATAAAAATTAAATATTTCCTTATTGAGCATGCAAGTTTCATTTGCTCTCTTAAGATAATAAGATGGATTATATTGTCCTTGCCTCTGTATGTGTCTCTACAATACAGGAACCATCCATGTTAAGTGGTACTGAAACTGTTGAAGAGCACAAGCTGAGGGCCACATCATAGACTCTGAAGATAAATATTAGTGTATTGAAGTTTGAAGGTGGTTGTTACACGTGTGTTTCTATTCCCATGTGAAGATTCAGTCTTCAAGAGTATAGTTTGATGGGTCATGGGCTTCCAGTTGTGTGGGCGCACTCGCCATGTTGTTCTGATTATTCAAGCTAATGTATGTTGTCATAGTAAGAATAACATTTTTGGCAGAGTTTAACAACTTGAGTCTTTTATGCACGAATTAAGGTTGAATGTGGGGCATTTGTTTGGCTTTGGTTTTCTTAGTTGATGTTTGTAGAAATTGTTGCCGCTTGTTGTCTCGAATCAATGGACATACAAATGTACTATGGTTGTGCTCTGTAAATGGAAGTTACTCTTTCTACCTATTTTGTTCTTATTACTTTGGATATCTTAAATTCGAGTAATTATGTCTACGAGTGTGTAAAAGAAATGTTAATTTTTTATGTTTGAGTTTGACTCGTATTCAAAGTGGCACAAATTAATATTTAAATTTGGGGGAGTAAGAATCCTAGTTTAATTAAAAGTAAAGAACTTTATTAAAATAGATTTAAACTTTATTTAGTTTTCCTCAAGTATTTATCCCTATAAATAGATACTAAGTGTAAAATTTATAAATTAAGCGCTAGTATGGTTTTAGAAAATATTTTATGTTTTTTTAGTTTTTTTTTCAAAAAATAGTTTTCATTTTCAGTTTTTTGAAAATTAGAAAACATGTTTGGTTAATATAAATGAAAACTTGATTTCTGAAATAAAAATAATTGAAATATATTTGGTATCTATTTTTTAAAATATAGATGAACAAATAGTTATCAAATAATTATATTAAAAAATAGTTTTTAAATAAATTTATTATGAGAGTTATGCAATTATAAAACATAAAAAATAAAGTTTATAAAAAATTTTATAACACAAATTATTTTAGTTTATAATAAGAGTATAATATTAATTCATATTAGACGTCAATTAAATTAAAAAATGCATAAAAAATATTGTTGTAAACAAGAGCACATAAAAGTGTTGTTAAAATAAAAAATATGTTTAGTGGTATTTAAGGCCCTCAAACTTTTGGGGGAGGGGGGATTAGTGTAGATCTTGAACTTTTTTACACTTAATGTAACTCTTAAATTGAGGAAAAAAATAATATAACCCTTTGACTAATCGAATCAAACATTGATCATCACGATACTTACATGACAATTCACAAAGCTTACATGACAATACACAATACTGAGCTAATTGTTCACGATCTTGTTGTTGTAGAACATAATGGATGATGATGTGGTAGATGGACTTAATTGATTTTTTGCTAAGTTCGAGGACCTAATTGATTATTTTATAAAGTTTAAAAACTTAATTATTTTTTTTGAAAAATTACTTAAATTTACAATATAAAATATAAATAATTATTAAGATATTTAATACATTAAATATAAAAATACTAAAAATCTAAATTATTAAATTATTCAAATTGAGTGTAAAAAAGTTTATGGACCATATTGATTTTTTTTTTTGTAAAAGTTTGAAGGTTTTAGATATCATTAAGTCAAAAAATTATTGTTAAAATGATTTAAATCAATACAACTTAACTTAAAATTTTGGATATTGTGTTTCCATATTTTTCAAAATTTCAAAACAACTTTAATGAAAATAATGAAAACATCTTTTTTATGTTATCATATTTTCATTTTTTTCATTTTTCAGAAATCATTTTCTAATTTTACAACCACACATATTTGTTTTCAACGCTATCCATTTTCTAAGAAAACAAAAATAAAAATAGCTTATATTTTCTAAAACCAAACGGGCCCTAAGTTTTTCTTTCACTAAAATCATCTTGTATTTTCTTCATTCATATTAGTGAAATTATTCTCTTTCGCCCGTGGTTTTTTCCTTTTGAGTTTTTCAAGTAAATCTTGGTGCTCTTTATTTTTCTTTTTTGACCGTGTTTATTTGTTTGAAGATAATCGTTCTGATATCATAATAAATTGATATCAGAGCTTCGAGTTCAAGATTATGGAAACAATAAAAGTATGATATTCCGATATTGGATCAAAACATCAGGATATCATTGCGGCTGGTGAAAATGTGGGATGTCCTTACACAATTGAACTTAAATGATGCATTGGAAGAGTTTGATAAAAAGACATTGTCGGATTGGACGAATAAAAAAAAGCATAAAAATCATAAAGCCCTGTCTCAAATCCATTCACACTTATCAAATCAAATTTTGTAGGTCGTGTTAAAAGAAAAAAAACATATGCTTCTTTGTGGACAAAATTAGAGCAACTATCCATGCAGAAATCAATGACCAGTAAGTCGCACATAAAAAAACGTCTTTATTCGCTCAAGTAAACGAAAGGTTCGTCTTTTGAATAGCATCTGATCATATTTAAGGAAACTGTCTTTGATCTAAAAACTTTAGAAGTGAAGTATGATCAAGAAGATCTAGGATTTATCCTCTTGTGTTCACTGCCTCATTCCTACTCATCTTTCATAGACACAATTCTGTACAGTCATGAAACACTCACTCTTAAAGAGGTGTATAATGGCTTGCACTCATTTGACAAGAGGAAAACATCTTGTATCTGGTTCTGAGCCCAGGCAAAGGGTCTCGTTGTGCATGCAGACTACGAAAGAAAAGGTGAGCGTTCTTCTAGTAATGAAGGAAGAGGCAGATCAAAATCTTTCAACCGAGATAAAACTTGTCACTTTTATTAAAAAAAAATGTCATGTTAAATCAGAATGTTACAAGTTACATAATAAAATTAAAAGAGAAGTTGAAGAGCAAAATTGTATAAAATCTGGTGAGATCGGTGTAGCAGAGGAGTGCGATGATGGAGAACTCTATAACAAATGATGAGTGGATACTTGAATCTAGTAGTAGTTTTCATATGAGTCATAATTATGATTGATTTACAACGTATAAAGATGTATCTAAAGATTAAGATGTTCGATGGGATTTTTCGAACACTTGGTAATGTATCACATGTTCCAGATTTGAGTGGAAATCTAATTTCGTTAAGTACCTTAGAATCAAAATTATACAAATTCTCCAGTAAATGTGGAGCTATGAAGATTTACAAGGGCTCTCTTGTTGTGATGAAAGGACAGAGAAATACTGCCAAGTTTTATGTTTTACAGGGTTTAATAGTTAGACAATACAGTTGATGTTTAATCCCATGTTAAATAACGTGGGCAGAACGGTTATGTGAAGCATAAAAAGTTTAATTTCCTAGACATAACGAATTTGAAGATATAATTATCATTGATGATTGGGATCGTGTTGTGCACGATGTTGCTCGTGGTGATACATTTGTAAGCAAAGTTGACACTTATGATAACCATGTCGATGTGAAGGCTCAATCAAAGCTTAGAAAAAGCTTGGATTCGGTCGGTATCCATTACTGAAGATTATCCCTTTGATGGGTGTGATGGAAGAGGTGGAGAACTTGTTCGTTGAAGTGAAGAATTGTTTTTTTATTGAGTTTGGGTGTCTCATCGAATTTGAGTGTTTTATCTCGAAACCGTCGCACTTTCAGAATTGGCATCAAGGTGGAGATTTATTATAATTTGACTCGAATTTAAAGTGTCACAAATTAATATTTAAATTTGGGAAAGTAAGGATCCTAATTTGATTAAAAGTATATAACTTTATCAAAGTAGATTTCTACTCTATTTAATTTTCCCTTGTAATCAAGTATCTATCTATTTTAAATAGATACTAAGCGTAAGAGTTAGAAATTGTTTCTTTCACCAAAATCCTATTGTATTTTCTTTCTTTATATTAGTATGCCTGTGATTTTTTTCCTTTTGGGTTTTTCATATAAATCTTGGTGTTTTTTATTTTTTCGATCGTGTTTATTTATTTGACGATAATCGTTTCGATATCATAATAAATTAGTATAAGCGTTTTGGGTTTAAGATTATGGAAACAATAAAATATGATATTCCGCTGTTAGATTAAAATATCATGTTCTCGTTATGGCATGTAAAGATTTAATATGTCACTGCATAATTGGACTTAGATGATGTATTGGAAGAGTTTTATAAAAAGACATCATCATATTAGACAAACGAAGAAAAACACAAGAATCATAAAATGTTATCTCAAATTCATATATAATTATCAAATCAAATTTTGTTAAGACAACTCTCGAAATACCTATCTTTCATAATTTTTCTTCTCAGTTTTTTCTTTGATGAAACACATCATATGAGTTAACATGTACAGTCTAGATGCAAAGATTTGGAGGCACAGCTCCCGAAATGAATGATGCTTCTAAAAGATTTTGGATAAAGCTACCAACTCGTCCTTGCACATTCATATGCTGAAATGTTGCAGTCAGTTGCCGGAAATTGGGTTCCACAAAACACACCAAAATGATAGGGTGCCATGTGATTCATCAATTCAATATATTTATCCTCCAGTTATTCATTATTAGGATAGGATTTTGATATTATATTTCCAAAAAATGTCCATGTAAATGGGCGCAGAATCATTATATTTTATATTTTCAATGTTAATACCGTAAATACATTTAAACAATTTGGTGTACTTCAAACTATAACTACACGTGTTTGTAGCCTGCAACGCATAGGACAAAGTTTATTTATTTAAATATTTCTACATTAAGTTTTTACCTAATAATAATTTTATTTGTCATCAAATAATTAGTGCTATAGTAAAAGATTTATGTTGATTAAAGTCTATAATTAAAGATCAGCTAGTAAGACCACGCTATTACAAAATATATATTTTTTTATAAGGTTTAATTGTAAAATAAATGTTTAAATTATACTCTTTTCTTAAATGGGTGTATAATTTTTTTGGGATCATTTAGGTGTTTAACATTACAAACGTTATTATTTTAATGCATGGAATGTAACAACTTTTAAAAATTTCTCCTAAATTATACATGTCACACTCTGATAATTTAATTTTTTTAAAAAAATAAAAAATTATTATATTTATAAAAACTATATTTTTTTCTAAAATTACAAAAATATCCCAAATTCTTAAAGATATCAAATCCCTAACCCTAACCTCCCTTAAGAGCCACGATCGTCATTGTCGACATCATCCTTGCCATCTTCCTGGTCAGCCATCGTCTCCCTTGTCGTCATGTGCGTCATTGGATAGTTTGGGGTCGTAAATTTAAGGGTTTAAGTTCGTCGGAGATGTGATTTAGGGTCGCGATTTTATCTTTTCCTTTATTAGAGACGTGACATTTATGGTTAGGTTTGGCTTGTCGTAGGGTGGAGGTCCGATTGACGTCATACAATGATGGTTGACATGGGTTTAGAGATTGAAATTGAAGTTTTCAAAGTTTTGATTTTTTTTAAAGTTTTTTGAAATTGTTGGGGT